CAGGGCACCCACGTGGCCCTTGTTTTTCTTCCAACTCCCCACCTATCTGAAGAAAGACTTTTTATTGTCCTTGATTCGTGTAGCCAGCTGAAGTGTGCTTACAGCCTTGGCTTTCCTAGTCTGCTCCCTGCAGGTGCGAACCAGTGCAGAATACCCCTCCTTCGTGGTGTTTCCTGTCTTCCATCCTTTGTAGGTCTCTCTTTTCAGATGCAGGAGGTCCAAGAGTTCCCTGTTGATCCAAGGGGGTTGTTGAGCCCTTTTACCACCTTTCCTACGGGTTGGGATGGACTCCTCTTGTGCTTCTAGGATTGCTTTCTTAAAGAGTGACCACTCATCATGAACTCCCCTCCCTGTGAAATCATGGCCTCTCAGGGCCTCAACAACAAGCCTCCTGAGCTTATCAAAGTCAACTTTCCTGAAGTCGAGGACTGCTGCATTGCTGAGTGACTTGCCAGCTTTGCAAAGGATTATAAAAGTGATCAACTTGTGGTCACTGTCTCCCAGCTTCCCCTTGATTCTTAGGTTGCTGATTAGACCATCCCCTTTGGCCAGTACCAGGTCCAGCGGCACCTTACCTCTTGTTGGCTCATAAACTTCTTGAGACAGGTAGAGCTCATCCATGCATGCGAGGAAGCTTTGAGACTGATTGGATTAGGCCAAGTGCTCTTCCCATGAGATGTCCAGGAAGTTGAAGTCTCCCATGATGACCGTGCACTGAGAGCAGGTTATATATATGTATATGTAGTGATGTATGTATAGTGCAGGTTGTCCTACCCTGAACCATGTAAGATGTCAAAATTAGCTGTTTTGTTAAATGAAAACGTCATCGTTTTACAAGAAGGAAGCAAAATTCAACACCCTGCTTGCCATTAGACAACTCTGTGGTAAACAAACTGCTCTAACTTTTATCTGAGCCTAATTTGCACAAAATTAATTTTCCCCGCCCAGGAGATCTTACCACACCGTACATCTCTCCTGTGAAATATGAATTTCCATTTCCACCTTGGGGAAATGTTACAATCTTTGCACTCTCCTATGCCTGAGGAAGGGCACTTGTGCCCAAAAGCTTGCAAATGAAGAATTGTTTTGAAAATATCAAATACAAGTTATCACCTCTACCACGAGTTCTAACTCCTTTGGACCCCAGCAAGGCTTTGGATGAGGTCCCACGTGACCTCTCCCATAAACAGATTGGAAAGCTGAGGTTGAGCTAGTGGGATGAAGCTCGGTGTGGACATAAGCAAGGTGCTGCAGCTTGGGGGAGCTTAATCAGAAACATAAATGCAAAATGCGGGACATATGGCTGGATGGCAGCGCTGTGGAGAAGGATCGGAGGGTCCTGGTAAGCTCTGGCGGGTGATGGGCTGGGTATAACATGGAGAGGAGCTGCGGCTGGCTCTGGTGGGGGCAAGGCCTCATATGACAAGGACAGGAGCTGCAGCTGGCTCTGGGGGGGGTGTCAGACTGGATTTAAGGGGACAGGAGCTGCAGCTGGCTCTGGGGGGCATCAGGTTATGTATAACAAGGGCAGGAGATGCAGCTGGCTCTGGGAAGTGGGAGTCAGGCTGGTTTTAGGGGGGCAGGAGCTACAGCTGGCTCTTGGGGCCCTCAGACTGGGTGTAATGGGGACAGGAGTTGTGGCTGGCTCTGGGGTGCGGCACTGTGGTGTTTCCCAAGCATGGGTGCTAGTTTTGCCCCAGCCCTGCTGTTAGAGCTCAGGTTCATTAGCTGGGCAGTTAACGAGCAGAGGTGTCGTAAGTAAAATTCCCCGACCCTACCACCCACGCCACAGACGCACACCCTGTTCGAGGCCCTGGGACATGTGTCCCACCGGCAGCCTGGGGGAAAGGGGCAGCGGGCTGTTGCAATCCAGGACAGCCTCAGGACGGGAGTTATCCTGCAGTTCAGGAATAACCCAGGTGCCCGGGCTGCCAGCACCCCCTGCTCTAACCCCTGGACACCGCTCCCCTCCCAGAGCTGGGGGAATCCAGGCGCCCAGGATGCCAGCACCCCTCTTCCAACACCCCTTTTAGTGTCCCTCATTGGGGTTGGCACATGGTAGCTATGTTGGGGTACCAACATGGCATCATGGTAACCAGGGCATACAGGTGGTGGGCACTGGGTTGCCACAACAACCTGGTTGTCCAGGGGGTGGGCACCTGGCAGCCATATGGGGATGCCATATTGGTGTCTTGCCAACCAGACTGTCTGGGGCATAGGCGACTGGTGCCTCCTGGCTCTGGGGGGGCACCAGTGGCTGATCACCAACCCTGGAAGCACCAAGGACAAACCAGAAGTGCCGCTGGTGCCTCTCGGGGGGAGGGGGGACACACCAGCCAGCGGTCCCCACGCCCCAGCTGGCGAGGGCCAGTTTCAGGGGAGGCACGTGCCTGGAGTTTGGGCACACGGCAGCCACTTTTGGGGCCCTATTTGCCTCATGCCAACCCGGCTGTCCAAGGTTTGGGCCCACGGTGGCCATTTTGGGACACTAATAATGATAACAAGGAACAACAACAACAGCAGTGGCAAAAATTATATTTTTATATTTTAATTGCCAATATCTGTTCACTAGAAATAACACAGCTGTCAAAGAGACTGTGACTTTTGGAACAAACTCCAGGCTCTTGGATGATTGATGATTGACTGACAGCCTGACCCATTTGTAAAGAGCACCATGAGACTCGCTTTCTCCCAGCTGCCTGCTGACAACCAGCAATATTTCTTTGAACTTCTTAGGAATGATCCTTTCTGACAGAATTGGGATCGCTTTCTCAGTGACAGGTAATAAATTAATTCATCAAATTGACATGTGTTAAACACAGTGGGCTTCCCCCAGTGCCTGGCACTGGGGGAAGGCAGCTGATCTGGGAGGTATGTCCAATGCCTAGCACCAGGGTGTGGGGGCAGACCCGGGTCCTGATCCCAATCCCCTGCCAATCAGGTGCTCTGTTGCTCTGGCAGGAATCTGGGCCGGGGGATCTCCTGGATTTCTGGAGATCCCCCCCACCCATAGTCCCCTCTGCTGCTTGCAAGAGGGCTCCCAAAGGGGACGTACACTACAATGCCAACAACAGGGGTCCTACCAAGAGGGACCTACATGGGCACTAGAAGGTCCTCCAAGGGCACCGCCCCCGGCCACTGGACACCTCCCACTACTGCACCTCCACTGCGATGGGCACAGGTTCATTAGCAGGGAGAGGGGGAGGATGTCTGGCCTGCTAACAAGGAAATGCATTATTAGGGGGAGGGACTTGGGACTTGCGCCCAGGAAGATGGCAAGGCAGGGCAGGGGTGTTAATGGAGCATGAAGTCGGATTTGCCCCCCCAGGGTTATTGCAAAGGCTTTGTTGCCCTGGTCCGGAGGGGGTGGGAGGGAGGGGAGAAAGTGGGGCTGATATGTGGGTTCTGGTGGGTGCTGCCCCCCGGTGGCCACTCAGAGGGCTAAGGCCCATGAAGAGAGGGGCCAGAGCAGATAGGGGGCAGGGCTGGGGGCAGGTTGTTTTGGCAACCAGGTTCCTCACACCATATAAATTTGGATATCCTTTATACTCCTCTGTACCTGTGTGTGTGTGTGTGTGTGTGTGTGTGTGTGGGTGTGTGTGTGTGTGTGTGTGTGGTGGGAGGGATGGCCAAGACACCTGCACTGTGTGTGCGTGTCCCGGCCGCCTGGGTTCCCTGGGAGTAGAATGGTCTGCAATGGGTTTGAACCAACACACCTGGGTTCCCGGCGGAGGTGGGGGCGGGGGGTGATTTTGTGTGTGGGGAGGCAGGTGCCTGGGTCCTCTTTGCATTAAATGGCCTCCAGCAGCTCCCCGCCCGGACCCCTGGGTTCCCTACCCTCCGCTCAGCTCCAGGCGCCCCCCAGCAGCAGCAGTGCCAGGGGCAGCAGCAGGTGGGGCAGGGGGTCCTGGCAGGGGGCTGCATGGTTACAGAGGCTCACGTTGCAGCAGTGGATCTGGGGGTCCGAGGGCAGCAGGAGGCGTGCCAGGGGCTGCCAGGGGCGGCAGAGGTCGGGGCTGCCGCAGCCACAGAGCAGTGTCCCAGGGTTGTTCCGGTCTGGGGAGGCAAAGACGGGGGTCAGTGAGGGGGGCTGCGAACCTGGATACCTGCTTCTCTTGGTGGGGTTGCTCACCTGTGCTTTGGGCTTTCACGCACACGTCCATGGCCCCTGTACAGGTTATGGTCTGCACCTGCTGGTGGTTACATTCACCTTTTCCTGTCTCCTGGCAGCTGTAGCACAGCTTCCCGTTGGGCTTCCCCCGAGGCACCTCTGTGTGGGGAGTGAAGCGAGGGGAGTGAAGTGGGGGGGATCAGGGAACCCAGGCATCTGCCCCCCACCCCGTTCTAACCATGAGACCCCTCTCCTCTGCCAGAGAACCCAAGCGTTCAGTCTCCCAGCCTAATCCCACCCCTAGCCACCCCCGCCCGCACCCCAGAGAACCCAGGTAGCTGGCACCACCCCACGTCCCTGCCACAAAACCCAGGCGTCCGGGCTCCCACCTGCTCCTGCTCCCATCCCCCAGCCCCCACTCCCTCCCAGAGAGCCCAGGCGTGCAGGCTCCAACCCTCAAGCCCCCATCCCACTCCCAGGGTACCCATGTGTCTGGGCTCCCAGTGGCCCTGCCCCTCCCCAGGCCTCCCGCCACCCCCAGAAAGCCCAGGTATCCGGGCAGCATTACCAACGAAGGAGCCATTGTTGCAGCCAGCCCCACGGCAGCGCTGTGCATGCACATAGGTCAGGTCAGGCCCTGCGGCAATGGCCAGCAGCTCCTCAGCGGGCCCTGTCTCCCCACAAGCCTTGTACACGGTGTCTCCCTGCTCCCCTGCCAGGACGTGGGGAGTGAGGCACAGGGAAACTGAGGCGCAGGGGGTTGGGAGAGGGCTAAGCCAGCCTGGGGCATGCTGGGGAACCCAGGCATCTGGGTGCACACTGCCTCTGCACTCATTTCCCCTCCTCCCCCCTGCTCTGAGAATCCAGGCTCCTGGGTCCCCGGTATCCCCAAAAGCCCCCTCCCATTGCCAGGGTGGAACCCAGGCATCCAGGCTCCACCGCACCTAGTGTGAGGATGGGACACAGGCCTCTGGGCTCCCCTCATCCCCTGCCCCTGCCAGGAGGGAATCCAGGTGTCCAGAGCCTTACCAGGCAGCAGCTCCCGGGAGAGCTGCAGACACTGGGCCTCGGGGCTTAAGCAGGACACAGTTGGGTTGTCAGGGCCACAGGTGGTGGCGTTGCCCACGCAGGTTTGACACAGGAGTTGCTCAGGGGGGCCTGGCTGACCTGAGGGGGACACAAGATTGCGATCCAGCTGGCTCTGGGGCGTGTCAGGGTGGGCATAACAGGGAAAGGAGCTGCAGCTGGCTCTGGGGAGGGCAGGTCTGGGTATAACGGGGACAGGAGCTGTGGCTGGATCCAGGGGGTGTCAGGCTGGTTATAATGAGGGTAGGAGCTGTGGCTGGCTCTGGGGGGACATCAGATTGCGTATAACAGGGACAGGAGCCACAGCTGGCCATGGGGGAGATGTCAGGCTGGGTTTAACAGGGGTAGGAGCTGTGGCTGGCTCTGGGGTGGAGCAATGGGGTGTTTAGCCAGAGACAGGCACTGACGTTGCCCTGGCCCCACAGTTAGGGCTTGGGTTCATGAATTGGGCAATTAACAAGCAGAGGTGTCACAAATGAAAGTTCCTGACCCTGCCCCCCCACACACACCCCCGCACCCCCATGCACACTCACACACTCAGCTGGCTCTGGGGGGGTGGGCAAGGTTGGGTATAATAGGGACAGGAGCTGCAGTTGGCTCGAGGGTTGGGCTGGGTATATCAGGGATATTATTGAAGGATAATGGTGCCCCAAATCTTGACAGATTAGAAAGCTGGGCTGGAGCTAACAGGCTCAAGTTCAGTATGGACATGTGCAAGGTGCTGCAGCTCTGGAGGAGTAATGGGAAACATGAGTACAAAATGGGGGGCACATGGCTGGATGGCAGCTGTATCAAGCAGGATCTGGGGGTCCTGGTAGGCTTGGAGCGGGGGGGATTGGGCTGGGTATAACAGGGAGAGGAGCTGCAGCTGGCTGTGGGAAGGCACGGGAGTGTCTGGCTGAGTATAACGGGGACAGGAGCTGCGGCTGCCTCTGAGGGGCGCAGAGCTGTATGTTACAGGGCGGGGATGTGGCTGGCTCTGGGAAAGGGCTGTACCTACGGATGTAGCTCTTGTTGGTGCACAGGTCCGTGGTGCAGCAGAAGGTGGATCCAGTCAATCCAGCCGCATTGTCCCTGGGCAGCAGGTTACAGGTCTGCAGAAGCATGCAGCCCGTCCGTACGGCGGCCCTCATGACTGGGGGTGTGGAAAGAGGAGAGGAATGGGCCCAGAACCCAGGTGTCCGGGGCCTGGGAGCCAGGAGGTGACAACAAGGTATGCCAGGGACGGGGGTCTTACCCGAGGGGGACAACCCAGTGAGCTCCTGCGGCCTCCCAGAGAACCCAGCGTCCGGGCTCCTAGCCCCGCTCCTGGCACCCTAAATCTGTCTCTCCCAGAAAACCCAGGTGTCGGGGCCCCCACCCCCAGCCCCTGGGGTCTCACCTCTGTTCAGGTCGAGTTCATGGATCACACAGACGTTCTGTCCTGGCGCGCACGTCTCCACCTTGCCCCGGCAGTTCCCCTGCCATCACAAGCATTTTGGGCAGCGCAGGCCAGAGGCTGTGGGGAGATGCGGCTGTTTCTGGGGGAGGGGGGCAATGGCTGGGTAGAATGGGGACAGAAGCTGCAGCTGGCTCTGGGGGGGAGCAGGGCTGGGTATAATGGGGACAGGAGCTGCGCCTGGCTCTGGGGGAGTGCAGGGCCCACTCACTGGTGACCAGCAGCCCCAGGAGTGTGGCCGTGTATAGGGAAGGTATCATGGTTCCCGTGTCCCGTCTGTACTGGTCTGTGCTGGGCTGGGCCCCACCTGCTCCTATATGGGCACTGGGAGGGGCTGGGGGGCCCAAAGGCACACGGAGGTGACTCACGGAGAGGAACCCAGGCGTCCGGATTCCAGCCCCACCCTTTGTTCTAGCGCACCAGACCCCGCGCCAGGCGACTGGGCTCCTGGCACCCGCTGCTCTCATCCCCGAGCCCCCAGTCCCCCCCAGAGAGCCAGGGACTGTCCCTATCTCTGCCTGGCCCCCGGGGTCAGTACAGAGCCCCCCATCCCCACTGGCAGTGACCCCGGGGGCCAGGCAGAGATAGGGACAGTCTCTGGCATCTGGGCAGCGGAGAAGTTGATGCCAGCCTCAGACCTTCCTCAGTTTAGACCATGAATCTATACTGGGCATCATGTAAACCCTATATGGGCTCCTCGCACAGCGCTGGGATGTGGCTGGCTCTGGGAGCAGGCAAGGCTGAGTGTAACGGGGACAGGCTGCGGCTGACTCTGCGGGGGGGCGGGACAGGGCTGGGTGTAATGGGAACAGCAGCTGCAGCTGGCTCTGGGGTGGGGCACCGTGGGATTTCCCAGGGACAGGCATTGACGTCACCCTGGGCCCCCTATTAGGCTCCTCGCACAGCGCTGGGATGTGGCTGGCTCTGGGAGCAGGCAAGGCTGAGTGTAACGGGGACAGGCTGCGGCTGACTCTGCGGGGGGGCGGGACAGGGCTGGGTGTAATGGGAACAGCAGCTGCAGCTGGCTCTGGGGTGGGGCACCGTGGGATTTCCCAGGGACAGGCATTGACGTCACCCTGGGCCCCCTATTAGGGCTCAGGTTCATTAGCTGGGCAGTTAACGAGCAGAGATTTTGCAAGTCAAACTTCCTTCCCCCCGCCCCCCCCCACCTTGTTCAGGCCCCAGGGCATGTCCCGCCAGCAGCCCGGGGGGGGGG